TATGTATGTATGTATGTATGTATGTATGTATGTATGTATGTATGTATGTATGTACATGAATGAAGTCTGCACGAATCGAAAACAATCTTAATTTTTATCAGATAAAACGTCTTCGCGTAATAAAGATCGGTCAGTAGTGATAATTCCTTTAACCAAGTGTTTGTTTGGGATGCATGTAGAACATGCTACATGGGAAGGTGCATAGTATAAAAGATGATGATGGTGTTAAATATTGATGTTGATGATGGTGGTAATGGATAATGATGAGTATGATGGTGATGACAATGAAGAACATGGTGATGCATGGGATGTGAGGAAGATATTAACTGATGATGTTAGCAAAATGATAAACAGAAGGACTTAGTGGATAATGATGAGTATGATGATGATGACAATGAATATGATGGTGATATATAATATATGGAGTGGTGCTAATACAGATGATGATGGTAAGGATAATGATAGAATGAAGATGTTAGGTATGTTGATGAAGATGATGGAAATGACGATAATGATGATAGGATTGTAATAACGATGATCACCTAATGAACTATTGATAATTATAATGATGATAACACAATTAGCTTTCATTGCTCCTCATCCCAACCGCACGAGTTTTTCTAATCACTACGACAGTTAACACAATTTTTTTTAGCGTGTCGCGTGAAGTGAATCTAAAGTATAGATCACCCGCCTCGTTCTTTTACTAGTAAACACTCAGATTCCATTAGGAACTCAATAACCAGCAATTTTAAATTTTCTGCGGGTTTTTAAATTAGACTGCTTTGATAAGAACATCATCAACCCCCCTCCCCCCTTCCCCTTTCATCGAACGGCTTCTACTATACATCATTATTTAACACTTGTCATGAAAATGTTTATACATCCAATAAACATAATATTACGACCGGCACATCAGCTAATATGCTAAGAACACTTAATCTACTTAAGCCCAGTGTTCACAAAAGGTAAATTTATAGCCGTCTTAATTGCTCCAATCCCCTTGGCTTCATACATGTTTGCACGCTTTGTCTTTTATAATACGATTTTGGTGCCGTTTGGCTTTGACCACCAAGAAACCTGAAGATTTCGAGGTTAAATAGCTGCCAGATTTTTGAAGAGTAAAAATACTGGGCCAATCACAAAATTAATCCGTCTGACGCACGAATTATTTTCACTGATGTGTTTTACCTAGACGTGAATTCCGAACAATCTGCGACAAAAATCGATCCATGACTCCCAACGCACTTATTTTATTAAGCACACTGAACAGACTGCGAAAATCAATTTAACATACTCTATTGGGTGTTATTATAATGGCAGATGGAGAGAAAATGAAAGAACATTTACATTCTTCCAGAATCTTCCTTACCACTGTCCGGCGCACTTAAATATAGGTTTAGTGGGTGACTGTTAATATTGTTGGTACATCCACCCTTGAAAACTCCCACGTAATACCAAGGTCAAGAATACGTAAAAGCTGATCTCGTTTTAATTGAGAACCTTAATTCCTCTCTCTCTCTCTCTCCCTCCCTTCCTTTCTTTCCTCTCTCCGGCTTTCTTCCTTCCTCCCTTCCTCCTTTCCTTCCTTCCTTCCTTCTTTCTTCTCTCTCTGTCTCTGTCTCTCTCTCTAAGACAAAACCTCGGTAATTTAATAGATTTGAGAATTTTTCCTCCACTGAGAGTGTTTACAGAGTTTGTCGTAAGATGTACTGTGACTATTACAATACACGACAACAATGATGGCCGATTAATATTAATAATGCTGACTAACGATTTATCTTGGCTTAACTGATATAGTCATCTGTCGCCTCTGGGTACACGGTTAAAGGGTTGTTGGCTTTCACTCTGCCTAACCCGGCGTATTTCAAACGTATTTAAAAATGTTACCACTCAGAGACAACAAAAAAAAAAAAAAAAAAAAAAAAAAAAAAAAAAAAAAAAAAAAAAAAAAAAAAAAAAAAAAAACGCGAAGCGGTCACTTGAAGATATGGTACAAAAACGTTTTCCTTTCTTCTGGAATTGATTGGACTCCTCAACACAGGGGGTCAAATAAATCCGGAGAAAAAGCTGGAAGGAAGTCCGATTTAAAAAAACAAAATATAAAATCCGAAGTAGAAAATCCCAAGAGACAAATATGGCTGCTAATTTTTGTGGCAGAATGCATTCCAAAATATGCTCGTGGTCCAAAAGTGAATTAAGATGTATATACTTCAGCCGCGTGATGACCAAATCAATCTATACATGCAGTTTTCAAACAAAACGATGACCGAAAAGGAGCGTTTTGTTTTTGTTTCACGCTTTAATATAAGAAATGCTTAATCATTGAGGTATAAATACTGGTTAAATATCCTTAGATCTGAAAATGTTTCGAAGGAGTACTCAGAATGTCTTGAAGTTACAATACCGCCTTAWAGTAATAGGTCCGGAGTTCACGTATGCTAGGAATTTATCTTTGGTACTTTACTTTATTTGTGTCCGGCCAACTTCGATTAAAGCGAAAATATTTTTAGGGCTAAGCGCAAAACTTTGCCTGTACATTAAAAACATCAGGTTGAATGCTTTTCTCAAGACAAAACAGTTAAGGGATCATTTATATTTTTAAACTTGCTTTAAAAAATAAGTATCATTTTGGAGTAAGGTTTTTTCTGTATCAAAATGCCTGTATCGCTTCGAAATTCAATACCAAGATGTTTTTTCCCAACAAAGCCACTAAGCTCATTGCGAGGGTTTGCATATTTCCCCTCCCCTTCGCCTCCCTTCCTTAGCACTAATATTGGTCAAAACTCGACATTTATCTATTTTTCCAAACCGCAATGTTTTTGCTTTGAAGTCTGAATTCTTTCGACTCTTTCTTGGTGTTGCAAGGCACCTCAATAAAACAATAGCCAGTGATAACGATGTCTCAACGCAAATTATCCTAAGAATAAGAGAAGCGTGCCACATTCTGTGAGAGAAACCTTTCCTTAATTAACGGACCTTACGTGCAAGTCATCATGTCACATTCCCATGCATCGCTGGAAACGTTGAAAAACCGCGTCCCACATGGATAAGAGTGACCATGGATGCTAAACCATTGTAGACACAAACAACATATTGGTCTGCTGGTCATAGCAACGGGTTAATCATCTACGATCTAGGGGCCGACTAACCTCTCCCTTAGGCTTCGGCCGAGCTTCCTGATCAGTCTGTAAATCCCGGATAGCGGTGTCGGGGTCGAAATCTCCGGCGTAGCCGTAAATGCTTCGCGCTGCCATACGACGGTTCAGCACTCGATGTCTGGAAGTATGGTCCTAAATTAATCAATCAATAAAAAAATATTATAATCTCAGGAACCATTTTCCCTAACAGATCGAACGGATCAATTTTATTTTGAAATCAGTTGTGCGCATGCACATGTAGGTGGCACCCTTTTTCTCCCGACTTTTCATTTTCAGTCGGCAAATATTCACAAACATCATTATCTATTCAGATATTCATAATAATCCAGAAAGGTTTTGAATGAATTATCATCATCAGCCAACAACTGAGAGACAAAGTCATTAAAAAACACCAGCAGCAATAACTGATGATTTCGAAAGACAAGGCAAAGGTTAGTTTTTATACTAAGGCCCGTAGCAAGACTTAGAAATGTAGGAGGGGGGCAAAGCATATTTTTCCCTTTTTAACTTACGAAAGTTGAAACTGGGGCTCATCCACCCCTCCCCCATCCCATGCCGTTGCTACGGGCCTTAGGCAACGTCTTTCACAGGCATCTCATGAGGTGCACACTGGCAGTCGATAGATTAGATAGGATAATATAGGACTGAGCTAGAATAAGAAATGTCTGTGCATGTAGAAGGGTAATCCAATGGACAGCTGAAAAGGAAGTAGAATGCATAATTAATGCAAGGATATTGGTTTAGAGAATAGTATAAAGCTTTTAAGGCGTATGGAAAAAAACTTCCGGGTCCAAAATAAAAAGCATAAAAATAAAAAAATGTGCATTTTCTTTGTATAAGGATTCGTTGTCCAAAGTTCCAGGTAGAGGTTGAATTATTGAGAACACTTTTCGCTTAATTCTAGTGATTTTTGTGAACAAATAATTGGTCCCGGAAATACGTCTTCAAAGCTCTTATACGGAAGTCTAGGTAAATTTTGTCTGGACGTTACCAACACTCTTTTTTCATTGTATTTTTTTTATTATACATCTTGTTTTCCTATTTTTAGGCCAATCATTAAAGTTTCAATACACATAACTTCAATAACCTTTATACTAATTTCTTTCACGATTAATTCATATTAGCTTTAACTACTTTATCAAGCACTAAGAACAAAATCCCCCCTAGTTCTAATCAATGTCTTTTCTATGGATAATTTAATTATATCACCGATGGGGTTGTGCTCACTAAATTTTATATCATGATCAAAGACCCAGCTTAACTCAATTTTTTAGCTGTTTGCATTAAATGTACTTTAGGACCAAATGCCTTTACCTATTATACATATCCTACTAAAATATGTATAATAAGTTTTGTTCCTACAGGTGTAACTTAATAACCTCATTAACTAGGCATTTATGGAGTGAAAATATACTCATTTCAATAGAGTTAGTCACCTGAAAAGCTACACAGCTGACACCAACAAGGATTATGGGTAGATATTTTACATGTTTCGACAGCTTGATAACTGTTGATGGACTTGCCCAAATGGTCTATAAGTCAATATTGGCTGGGATATCAACTAGTAGACCATTTGAGGAGGAGAGGTTTAATTGACTGTTTTCTCAAGGCTGCATGCACATCCAAATTTAAGGAATGTGGCAGGCCGTGATACCAGAACATGAGCATTATCACGCATTGCTATGAAATTTTTTACGATAAGAATTCCTTCTCAATTTTACTGCATTTGCGTTTTTCAGTTTTGTGGCCAGTCAAGTTGGATGACCAAGCAACCTTGAGAAAACGGTCTATTGTTTTAGTCTAGACCTACTAATCAGTCAAATATGCGAGTAAAAATAATTTTTAAATTAGTTTGAAAACCTGATTTAGCTGGTCATTAGTGGTCTGTCACTAATAGACCACAAGTAGGTCAGCCAATCAAAGCACAGGATTTGTGATAGACCAATAGCAGGTTTAGACTAAAACTAAATAGACCTCTAGTTGGTTGCTGGGAATATTAATAACTATTACTAATATTAATGATTGTTGTCTATTTTGTTTCCTCTCTTTAGCCGAATGCTCTTTCAGAGTTTTTGAATGTCTATGAACTATTTTATAAGCTGAACACTGCTGTTCTAACTAATCATACCAGTCATCAAAGTCATCATCATCATCATCAATTTCCTCAATACCTTCAAAAAGTTTTCCAAAGCATCCTCCAACAGGAGAATTGAAATGCAAATATGGATTACCCGAAGATAGAATAGATGAGCAGAGCCAACAAAAATGAGACCTACATCTGGAACAAGTCATTTTGTTGCAACCATCAACTTTTTCAATGCCAAAACTACAACTAGGGCACTTCTTGGAGTTGGCTTTGATCCATTCATTTGACACCAATTCTTCGAAAACATTCTTTAACTTTTGCTTTCCATACATTTTTTCCATTTTTTCTTTTTCTTCATTGCTAGCACTCAGATACTCCTCCTGAAGCTTCTTGAATTCATTATTTTTGATTGAGCATGGTGAGACTCCATGGTATGTCTTCTTACAAAAGACACAGAACGAAAAAGCACACTGAGGACATGAGGCTAGTGTCTGGTTTGTCTCCAAGATGACAGGTGATTGACAGTTAGGTCTTGGGCAGTACATAATGTCAGGCATACTGTCTAACGTTGACTGTAAGAGGTGCTTTTCATACTTCTCATACAAGTTGGGTGTAACCAAGCATTTTACTTGAGAAGGGTTTGCCTGTGATTCACATTTAGATGCAAGGCAATTCAGAGCTTTGGATGCACCACTTTGGATTTGTACAGTAAAATACTCAGAAGCACATTGATTGCAAAACACATGGTCACAGTCATGGAATTTGATGGATGATAAACCAGGTTTTTCGCTGAAGCACACCTCACAAGTGAAATTGCTTGTCTCAAATACTCTCACTTTTTCTGTTTCATTAAAATTCAAAATGGCAGCTACCATCTTGTGGTATGAAGCAACATCCTGCACCACACGCTCATCTACTGAGAATTTCTTGTTAGTTTGTCTYGTGAACTTTGGTGTAAATGGACTTTCAATAGCTAATACCCCAACTGCTTCATCTAATAGAAATTGAAACCAAGTGAACAGAATAACTGATCCAGGGCCTTGTTCTTCCCATATTGCATCCAGTTTCTTGCAAAGCTCAGAAAGCTGAGGGAAAAAAGTGAGTTAAAATTTATCCCTCTTGTGGATTTATTATTTGCCATCATTCTCAGTTCTTTAAATTTCAGTCCTAATTCCAAAGATTTAATATTTGGAGGTTCATGATTTTTTTGAGTTTCCCTTGCAATAGGTACCACTTTCATCCATTCCTTTTTGAGATTTTGTATTTTTTAGTGGAAAAACTTAATCCCATTCCCATTTTTGCACTTTTATTTCAGTGCATCCCATCCCATTATCCCATTACAAAAATGGGCAAATAGATATCTCAACTCCCATTTTATTCCTTCAGGACCCTCTTCTGAAGTTTTCGTGGGCAGCTAAAGTCTTCTTGTTTTCCAAAGAAGCCCTTCCACATCACCCCAAATACAGTATGATGCGTACTATACTGTACATGTAAGCTAAATTTAACCAACCTGGAAATTAGTCAGCCATTTACATGAAAGAGTGTACTGTGGAGCGTCTTCTGATGGATAAGCTGTTGGCAATTCAAAATTTAATACAATTGGAGGCAGATAATCAACATTAACGGTTGCAAAAACGTCTTTTGCAGCCGAAGTTGCAAGCTCATCAGCTTCTTCTACTGTCTTGTCTTTACGGAAGGATTTTGGGAGGTGTGCTTCACGAATCCGAATAGAAAATGGCTTTGGGAAATCTAAATGAGCATTTAATTGTCCTCCTTTGTCGTCAAGGGAGCGAATAAATGTTCTGTTGTCGTAAATAGACGTTAAAGCAATGAGTTCATCTTTTTGCTCCTCCTGATCGGCCGCCATCTTGGATGGGATGGATCAAGGTATGAGGGACTGGGTTGATATATCAAAACGACTTTCCTTTCCCTCCCCTCCCTAAATACTTTTTCCATGGTAGTTTCCTCTTTCCTCTTGCATTTTCTTTTCTTATATCCTTGTTTATATTTTCAGTTTTTTTATGTTTTCAGCGTTATTTCATAATTAATCAGAATTAATTGTTATCCTAATTTAGCCTCATTCCCAAATCTTTCCGTGTTTCTTAATAAGTTTTATCCTCCACTCTACTCACCGCTTACATTATACAAATAACGACTCTCCCCTCCCTATCTACAGCTAATCTGTAGAGCTGCTCAAAGGAACATATGGAACTGACTTCCAAAATGGCGATGCTCACTTAGCTGGAAAATTCCCTCGAAAGACAATGCGTTTCAACCAAAGAGAACTCGCTAACATTGCTACGAACAATGATGTACCATTTGACAAAGAAGGAATCCTTTGGCTAAAGGAAAAAGAAGGTTATTTCTGGTCTAAAAATGAAGGTAAAGTCAATCATTATCAAATGTGAAGCTTATGACGCTGATTCAGTCTCAGTCAGCTACAATTGCAAAAAAAGTCATTAGAATTTTCTATTCTTGAGCTCCTTCATCCTTATATATCATTATCATATTCGTTTATAACATTAGCACTGTATGTTATGTTGTTTTAAGAGCATTTTCTTCGCTAGCGGCATGAGCTTCTTCAAGTTCAAACCGATCGTGACATTTTATGCACTCTTGCCAAAAAGTTTTAATTTAAGCTTTTTTTGTCATATAAGATTATCAGTTCGGAATATATGGGATTTTTATAGACACTGCATTATCGTTTTTAAATTGATATTTTTAAATGTTTTTAATATTTCATGCATGATTGAACACATTTATGCTTCATGCAAAAATCAAAACAAATGGTCAAAATAGTGACCCCATTTCATTGGTTTGGGGGGTGGGTATCAGTAAATTATATTCAGGGCTTAAAATAACAGCCAATTAGTTGCAAAATCATGATCACAGGCCAAATGTTACCAGGGTCAAAACCCGGGGGGGGGGGAGGTACTCCCATATATGGACTATACGGGGATGATCCGCTGAACAGGGTATGGTTTTTCGAGCTTCTTATCATAAACAGGGTATGCAATTTCACTCAAGTTCCAAGTTCTTCCTGATTTTCCCGTCATATCCAGGGTTTCTACTTTCGTATTGACCGAAACTGGTTATTATGGTCCTAAAAAAACAATACGTGAGCTGACATGATAATTGAAACAGGAACTCAGTGCAAT